TCTCCTCCCATCTGTTTGTAGTATATAATGATAATCAACATATACTTGACATGTTATTATGTCATATCATTTACACATGATCAAACTAGAATTCATTTTCTATCAGTTTTGCTTGCAACTATTTATATTCAACTTAAACAGGCCATGAAAAATATTTCAGTGATGGAGCAGTTTTACAAGAACTTTGAATTATTGTACCAGCATTATCCCATCTTCAATACAGAATATTATTTCTTTGTGAATTCTCAATGCAAAAGCCAATGTTATGAAATAAGGAGGATCCAAAGAGAAGCTATTAACATGAACAAAGAGTAAAAGTGAACCAATTCCTCAACCTGGAAAAACTTTACATGAACCAAAGAGTATATTAAATGGTTGGACAATTGAAAACCTTTTCACCTATACTTTGGTCAATAAAACAAGATGTCAGCAAAAGTGTCCTTCATGAAAAATTTGATATACTGTGTCATTATGACGATATGAATGTAATTTCTGGAACTCCACCTCTCCATTTAATTCTTGATAGAGCCCGTTTAGTAATGAGTTTTTTTTATGGTGGGAGTACTCATAAAAACAAAGTTGACTTCATTAAACAAAGGTTATTGTCAATATCAACCCTGCAATATATACATTTGGATTGATATTGGACTGGTTTAAAGCAGTCCTGCACTATTTAAAAAATAAAAATGAAAGTGAAGTGAGACAAAATCATCACAGATAATTAGCCATAAGTTGCACAATTACTGAGAATATGTGAAATAGAAACAGATATATAGAGAGAAGGGGATGGAAAGAAAATTCTTTCTTTTTCTAGAGTTAAAAGGATTAATTTGATACAAAGAGTGAAATATTGGTTGAATAAAGTCAGAAAACTAATTTTGAAAACCACACATTGTGTACAGGCTTGCTTTAAAGAGAAAAAAAAATGTCAATATAAACCCTTTCTACTAAAGAATTTTAAGTTGGCTCTGGGTTTAAAAGTTAGTCTTGGGTAACATGTAACTATATATGAGAGTCCAGAAAAGCTTTTAACACTTCCAAAATTTTGATGACATAACCAAATACATTTTTCTTAATCTAATTGACTGGGCAGAGAACTTTCCAAGACCGCCTTAATCTGTGAAATTTATCCACCACAGGCAAAAGAAATGTACATACAGACTACATATTCGCAGAGAAAGATTTTATAAACAATGATTTTTAGCAGAATGCAGAGAATTTAAGATAGAACTGCCAATTTCCATTTTAGACACTGATTTTTTTTTTTATTATTATTATTATTTTGAATCTTTGCAACCAATTTATCAGAAAATGCTGTTGAAAACAGATGCATCCTGCATAAACATTTGTTCTTATTCTAAGAAATGAGGCAGGTGGATCTTGCTATACCCAAAATTTTCTGAACAAACTTTGAAAATGCAGTGTATATATTTTGTCTTCAAGTTCCCAAAATCAAGTTTATGACCCCAGACATGTCATTAATTAAAAACAAAACATTCAAGAAACATTTTTTCCCCCCATATTTATTTCTGAAAACTGAACTTTAAAACGGGTCTCATGAATATTTGAATTTTTTTTTTTAAACATGTATTTTTATCTAATAAATTCTTTAGGCCTCTAAAACTTAATTATTATTAACCTTTCCATAATTTGAAATTAGTATTTCTTAATTTCTATATGTATCCCTAAAGTATACATAATGATTAACTTGTTTTCATATCCAATATTCCACTTGTAGAACATTTTAAAACTTTTTTTTTTTTTATATCAGACAAGCATTGGTTTTATTTTATTGATAATATACATGGAAAAGACTAAAACAATATGTGCCGACAGATCATGTTAAAATACAATCAATCCTCGTCTGCTATCAAAATAAAGTATTAAAATGTTCCACAAATATGACAATAAAGACAAATTCCAAGCCATCTTTCCTAATTATGTATCTCGGAAATTTCTGCTTTCTGATTCTAAGTATCTTTTTTGTTTCCATTTTCCTTAAGACTTCCTTATTGTTTATAAACTCCATCATCCATGATATTCTCAGCATTCTTTTGTAGAACCACATTTCTGTCACCTCAAGTCCTCTTCATCAGTGCAGGAATTATCCATCATTCAAATGCCATATAACAGGATTGATATTTTGCATAGCTGTTTAACACTTTCCTTTGTTTCTAATGAAATTCTTTTTTCTTAATATAACTTTTGGAAAGTATATTTTACCATTCTAATGCACTATCAGATTTAAACTTTCTCTTATCTTAACTGCCCAAAAGCATATCCAATTGGGGTTGGCAGAGAATTTTTTTTTTTTTAAACTGATATCACAGTTGGCCATATTAACTAGCATGCTGAAAATGTCTAAACTCTTAATATCTGCAGATTTCAATATCTAAACTATTTGCATATTTTAGTTAAGAAATCAGTCTATGCATTTTTCATTCATCTTATTGTCAATTGCAATTTAAAATTTTTGGTCAACTATATCAATGCAATAATAGGCCTCTTGATATGAGCTGTTGTTCTAGTTTTCTAACCATGACAAAATTTTCTTTTAAAAAAATCTAATGTTTTAAATTTTTTTTTTTTTAGGTTAGCAGAAGTGGCATGTCAGAATTAACACTTCAAGAGATTCTTGCATTTAGTATTTCCTATTTTTGCCGAGAAAATCACTTTCTTGAAAGAGTACAATTTTACCATCACCAAATCAAAATGGCTTGTTGCTTTTTTTGGTTGAAATGCTACTTTTATTTATAAAACACATAGCGTTCAAATACATGCAGTGTCTATAAAGCAGAATTGAAGGACGCTGCAACGAATTACTTTTAAAAAAAAAAATTCTACCAAGAGTGAATTGTATAATGTAACAATCTTTGGAGATTTTATTGCAATCAGTTCCATGTGGATATTCAAATGAAATACACTTAAACTCATTCTATGGAGAATGTGTTCATATTTAGAGAATTTCCCCACCTGTTCATTTTCTTTTCATTTACTGTACATTGCTGATTTATACATTGCAGTAATTGAATCCATTTTTGGTTAGTTTTGACCTGTAAAAGTATTTTCACCAAATTGCATTAATTTTTTTAAGAATGATTTCTCCAGATACAAGTCCTACTCTAACCCATAACTGAAGGGAAAAGATAAATTCATGCCTTTACCCAAGGGTATTTATGCACAAGTGAACAAACCAAACTGGAATTCAAACTGCTCTCAAATTTCCCATTATATCACCCACACATCTATTTAGTAGAAAGTTCAGAGTGGCATAGATTTATCAAGCAATTCCAGAATCAAAAAGATCCAGATTTTAGAGTTGAAAGTAATCTCAGCAACTACATTTAGAGGGATGTCTGTAGCCTTTTAATCTGAAAGGTTCAATAATTAACTATTCTCATATTCTTACTGATCACAGCTCTCAATTTTTTTTAGTTTTGACACTTGCTATATATATATATATAAAAAATTACAAAGAGATGAGATAGTTTTTTTTTTTTTTTTTTTTTAGTTATGACAACTTGATATTTCCTTTCATTATACTAGCAATGTAAACAGTTTCAATACAGTCAAGCAATACCAGTCGCAACAAAGTTAACTTACCTACCCTTCTTATTTTACTAAGCTGTCAACATATAGGACAACAATCTTCCAAGTCATTCAAAAGAAAATTATAAAATCCCTCGAGATTCTATCAGGTTGGTTGGCAACGGCTGCATCAGAAACACTAATGGGACAAGAGTGTTTTATAACCTTTCTGAAGTTTAATATTTAATCTTTTATGTCAAACGGAATTATGTAACCAACGTTGAGGTCCTGAAAAAAAAGTTAAGGCTGAATATATGCAGAAGGAAACATCTCTCCATCCATCCAAGGGCATGTTTATTATCCAGTCAACACAGCTGAGAGTGAAGATAGAAGAGAAAAATCCTGAAGTATCAATTACCAAAAATTAGTAATAGACCAAGTGACTAAAAGATCTAGCATCATACTATTAGCACTTTGACTGAGAAAAGCAATCTGACAACATCCACTACTTGATAATACTTCTTACCTTAGAAGTGATACAAAAGGTCTCTTGACAACCAACCCATATTATCTTTAAAACAACCTACTGTTCTAATTTATTTAAACTAAATCTACAAAACCAGTTACAGATCCTGCAGCAGCATAAAACTACCAACTATGAATTTGATATTTTTAATTTTAAAGAACTATACATATCCTCTGCATTTTGAGACAGTTTCATCCAACTTTTATGAAAATTAATATTCATACAGGTTCCCCTCTGCTAAATAAAACAGTGTAAAGCAATTACTCAATTTATATAGGATTTTTTTTTAAATTCCCAAACAAAAAATAACCTGTCCCACTGTTGAAGATCGTTATATGCCATGAGTTGTGTGAAAGGCAGGAAATATGACAGTATGCTTGACCTCACATTAATCCATCATAGAATTTCTTTACTTTTGTTGATGGTAGGTAGAGGGTGAGCTAACAATGCCAGAATGGTTTATATAGTGAGAATTGTTCATGAATGTTTGATATGAATAAAGCCAGGTGGTGTTTGAGAAATTTAAGTGTTTTGAGTAAAAATTTGTGTGAGTAAAATTCTATGAAACTAATTTTAACAGGTCACCTAATCAAGGCCAAAAGACAAGCCCTTGTCATTAGTAAACAAAGATTTGTCAAATAATGGCTGTCACTGTTACAGCAGACCCATGGCATAAAAATGAAAAAATAAATTTGTACCTAGCTAGAAAACTAAATAAACTTTAATAATAACAACTATCACAAATATTCTTTAAGTACTTGGAACAATTTCAAAGAGCTTTACAAAAAGAGAAGAATTAAAAACAAACCCAATAACAACAGTGCTAGAGTACCAAATAAAAAAAAATAAATAAATACGCTTCATATGGAAACTAAAGTACAAACAATAAACATAATAGCTGTATTCTCTCAGTAAAACTTGCCTTAATTCTTGGTATTATGGCTACATCATATTGAAACACTGGTTCCAGTAGGATCACTGAAGTTAAGCAACATCAAGCCTGGTCAGTACCTAGATGGGTGACTGCTTGGGAATACTAGGTGCTATAAGCTTGGATATGCAGGTGGTGTAATGGATAATGGTTCAGAATTGTTAACTAGAGAACAGAGTTCCAATTCCAGTCAGGTTTGTTATATTCACTTTCACAATCTTGGGGAAAGAGGTATGAATCCACTTCTCCCCTTAGCTATGGATTAATTAGTAAAACTTGTATCACTAAACCATTATTATCTCCACAAATGAAAATAAAAAATTGTGTACAAAAAATATTTAGATTTCAGCATTAAGTAACTCAGATGTTTTGCAATAACCTAGAATAAAAAATTGATTTTTTTTTTTTTTTTTTTTTTTTTTTAAAATAATACCTTATTAATCCAGATTCATTTAGTTATGGAAAAGTTTTGTTTTTTACCAAGTGGAAGATTTCATTTTGTCATTCCTCTCCACTTACATAATGTTTAGCATTTAATGCTAATAAAAGGAGTAGTCTTCAGATGAAGCATGTTTATTGTTAATGCAGTAAAATAAATAAATAAATAAATAAAAAAATAAATAAATAAATAAATAAATAAAAAAAAAAAAAAAAAAAAAAAATCGAGAGAAAAGGCTGAATATTTCCATTTTTCAAATGGTGAAATGGAATATACTGCAAATCAAAGTTCCATGTCTGCACATGGAGGATTTGTATATTTATGATTCATCTTCAGTAACAACTGAGCAATTTTCGCACTTCCCTACCTCCATGTCATGCTCTGTCAAAAAAAACAACATTGGTTACTCATGAATTCAAATCTTAGCTGGTATTGTTACAACACAGAAAATTTTTAATTATTTTGATTTGTGATAGAACTAGATTATACAGTAGGATTGTAAGTAGACATTTGGCATTTTCTGAACATTTCCAAAGTGATATGTGCTACACATTTTAGAAATGGTCTGTCCTAACTCCAGTATTTAACACACTAGAGTCTAATTTTAATCAAAATTCACGCATGTTTAATCTTCTGCTTTTAGGCGATCAGTTCTGGATAGTTTCATTTTCTCCTCCTTTTTGTAAGAAAAGTCACTGAAACCTTGTTGAAATTCATGTCATAAGTGACAGGGAGGCTTACCAACTTGACACCCTTTCAAAAATTACCTATATGGAATCAATTTAGGAAACCTATGACAAAAAAAAAAAAATTAGCCCAATTTGCCAATTTTGTCTGCATTTTTGTTTCTGACTCATCTTTGATAACAGAGAGGAAAAAAAAAAAAAAAAGATTTTTTTCTTCTCTTTTTTTAGTGTAAGTTCCCAAATAATAGAACAATTTAAATCTTTAAAATATAAGAAAATTGTTCTCAGGAAGTATTTAAAATGTACTCAGTTACTCTCATATGCTAAATTGATCATTACCCACTTTTAGCACCATAAGCTGGGTAACAAATATCAGATTTTGATATTCATTTATCAGAAAACCATAATCTAGACCTTTATTCCTATGTTTTAGGAGTACTAGATCCATTTTGGACATTGAAAATCCCCAAAAGATATAAATGGGTTAAATGCAAAAATTTTATCTTTTTGGTCATTTTTGGCTCTTCACTATAAACCAGAATTTCTAGATCTAAAGCCTTTTTTTTTTTTTTTTTTTTTTAAATTAAAATATGAAAGTTTTGTTTTAATGTCCATCTCGAGTACAAATAACATTAATACAGTTCCATAACTGAGCTGAAAATCCTTCAGGCAGCTCAAAATCTACAAATGTCTGACTCTTGCGCAAGCCAACTGTGGATGCAGGTAAACTTATTAATGGCTTCATTGCATTTCTACTACAAATGATTAAAGTAAAAAAAAAAAAATTTTTAATATGAAAGACTTCTTTTCTCTCAGCAAGAATCAAAGTTGAAACATCAACAATTACTGAATAAGAATCTGTACAAATTATGCAAAACACCAAAAGCAAGAGCAGTTAAATAAAAATAAATAAATAAATAAAAATAACACTCCAACTCTGAAAGCAAAAGGTTTCCATTAAATGCAATGGCTTCACAAAACCTAATGTAAAGGTTTTAGAGCTTTAAAAAATATATCATAAAAGAATTTTGAAAACTAAAAAGGAAGATCTTTTTAATTAGCACAAATATTGGATTATTCAAGTTTAGAATTAAATTAGTTAAAAGTAAATTTAGTAAAGAGAAATAACAGACAAAGATACTGTCAAATCCACTCCAGTCAGATGTGCTTTAGTGCATGAAAAACTGACTATAGTTTGCATACAAAGAGTGCTGATAGAAACAGACAATACCCACCCCCATGCATACAAGAGATTTTGTTTTAACACTGTATAAGAACTATATCCCAAGAAGAAATCTTTCATGCATACAATATATAAGAAAAAGTTTAATCTATGCCTTGTCAATCACAGTCAAAGAGACCTGTATTAGAGAGGAGTTGCTGCCTAATACACAATTATGCAAGTTGAAAATTTTTTTTTAAATTATAATTGTCACATCAAATGTTTTATTATTTCTGTCTACCAACATGTAATATCTTGCCCAACTTTGTGAATCTTACTTAAAATGGAGAATTCATTTGCATACTTCAGTTAAAAGTAAAGTTTTTAAAATAACTATTTCTTTATAAATTTCCAATCTAGTCTTCTGTGATCTTTATAAATAATAGCCTTTTTATTGACTTTGAGAATTAAAGAAAATACTTAGTTATTCAAAATTCAGTTCTGCCCTGAAAGGTAACAATTAGAGCACAACTCAAAAGTAAAAGAGAAATAAGCAACATTTTATTTTTTTTAAATATCTTATATTGTTCATAAAATGAAAAATTAACAGAAAATAGATTAAACCTATAGCATCCAACCCACACCATGTATACCCTACCATAATATGACAACATCATTGCAAATAACACAGAAAATCACACAAACAGTGAGACACTGAGGGCCTGGTTCAAGCATGTTGAATGCTAAAGGGTTAAATAAACTCAAAGATAACCTAAAGCAAAAAAAAAAAAAAAAGTAACTAAGTCTATGACCATTCAATTATTTAACTAAGCTTATAATTGGCCCACAACACCTGCAGGTTATAAGGTTGCTAAAATGCTCAAATCTATCAAAGACCTATATATCATAGTAGAGAAAAGGAAATGGACTGAATATCATTGCTAGTGCGTTCATACATACATACATACATATAACCTGTTTCTACATTTTTTGTTTTGTTTTTTTAAGTAAATGCTGTTTTTAATTAAACAGTATCATTACATTTACTGGCCTGAATGTTTGAGAAATTTTCACAGAAAACGTGTTTTCCAACAGGAATCAAACCTGTATTTGATACAGAAACCGTCACTTGGCCTGACATGCTGTTAACCATTCAGCCACAACTAACTTCCAGTTAGCAAAGTTAAAATTACTGCTTATAAACATACATCTTTGACCTTTCTCAATATATCATTTCTGCTCTGATGACAGTTTCAATTCTTTTGGAAAATGTATATTTTCTATGAAATTTCTCAAACATTCAGGTCAGTAAATGTAATTAATACAGTTTAATTAAAAACAGAGCATTTAATATGCAGCCATAAAAATAATGTATTAACAGAAAATATATTAAAATATTTGTCAGAGTTAATCTAGGTACCTCCACGAGATCGCTAAAAAAAGAGCATAGCATGATGAAAAAGACGCCAAACTTGACGAAAACAAAATTTTATCGTCTATGTTTGTTATTATTAAGAGGAAAGGTCAAAGTATTTTGGGGTATTTTTTTCCATTTTTTTTAATCGTTCCCAGCACGTCCTAAATTTTTGTTAAAAATCTAGTTTTTTTTGAGTCAGCAAAATTGACCATTTTTTTCCATTTTAAAAAAAACTGGAAATCTGACTTTGAAATTTTTTTAAATATCAATTAGCATTTTTTCAAAACTTATTTTAAGAAAATCAGAAATTATAATGTTTATTTAAAATAGTTTGAACCAAACTTAACTTAGCTTTTGTGCCAAAAAAGATGTAATTTGAAAATAAAACAAAGCAGGTCATAAACTTTCGTCTCTTGACATGTGATGAATGATATATTTTTGAATTCCATGAGGCTAATTTGTTCTACGGAAGGAGAAAAGTGAAATAATTTACATTCGTGAACAAATTATTTACCCCGTTATTTTTAATAAAAAAACTTTCAACGGTCTATTTTTTTTTTTTTTTTTGTACTTAGCTTTCACCTTTACGTTTATGATGCTTTATGGGAAATATATTGTAAAGAAATTAAAATAAAACTGTTAAGAGTGACATTAAATTTCATATTTCTTAAGAAAGGTATCTAATTAATTCATAGGTACCTTTCTTATGAAATTTTATCAGAATTGTACATAAAATACTATAATTTTATGTACATTTATTACATTCTACTGTTATTTGTATTTGCATTAATTTTATTATTAATTTTGATATTTCATTTATGGAAAAATGTCGTAACTGAGATTAATATAAAAAATAAGATCATATAAATTTCATAAGATGATACTGATACTTGTAGGTACCCTTTCTCAGTTGAAATTGAAAAAATCAAATTAACTTCTCCACACGTGTTTCAGCAAAAGTAAAGGCCTTAACAGCGGAGAACAATGCTTAACTCAAATAACGCAGCTTAATTATATTCTGGTTGGTCTTCCGTATTTTATAATTACAGCTCGATTATAAGCACAAAATTACATTTCTTAATTACTGGGGATCTTCTGATTAGTCAAAATGATACAATTTACAATGCGCTAAAAAAAGATCTATCTCATAAGGACACTTATGAAAGCCGATGCTTTTTAACTAATTTTATAATATTTTAACAACTTAAATGTAAAATCTATTATAATTAATGAAATAACAAATAATTGTATTAAAATTTGTTTTCATCGAAAAAAAATTTTTGCTTTCAGAAAATATTGTCCATATTCATAAAAACAACTAAAAGCAAATAAAAATATTTGAAATTAAATAATATCTTTGTTTTATTGAGTTTTGTATGTTACAATTCAGAGCTGATTTTCAGTTATGATCCA